ACTCTGTTCGTATGTATCGGGAGAGGGAAGTGCGAGGAACGTCAAACAAACAAAGTACGGGCACTCTGATTGAAGTTCTGGACGATCATCGACTAGCCCCAAGAAGATGAAAACTTCTATGCACATCCAACCATGGTGAATAGAACTTTTAAATGGTTAACAATTACTTCACCACCGTATTCGGATAACTCCCCAAGGAGGTCCACCTGAGCCAGAAGCCTTGAATTACTTCAATTACAAAAATCCAAGGCAGATCGTTCTTTCGCGTGTGGTTCAAGCGCATCGTTTCCAGACTCGCGGTTAGGGACAGTTGTGCAATAGGCCGAGGGAGGGAGTTACTGAATTCAAGGTCGAACTGCTCGGCCCAGTAGTCCATGCACTTACACAAGTTGGTAATCAGTGATCGATCAGTCTAAAGTAGCCTCACTGACGCCTGTTATCTGTGGTTATCGTCATCATTTAATGCGAGAAGTCTTCCACCGTCATCGGGGAGATCACAATTAATGGCTTTACGCCCCTCAGGATGACGTTTGCATGACAGAATGTGACCCACCAGTGTACTGAATCCTCCCGCAAGTACAACGACACCGGATATTTGGATACATATTCAAAAGCTGGTGGAGTGCTCGATGAAAGTCTCACTCAATCGGTGTTCAGGTGCATCTGTTTGAAGTGTATGCGTAGATCACATACCAGTTGCGTCTCTAGAAATGCCGTCTGCTGAATTTACACGAACGCGAAAGCAGTACTTCAGGCAGTTAGTATTCATTCGAGAACCAACCTAGCTGTGCCGCCCCAGCATTTTCACTCAAACCGACGTCATCGCCAGCCAAGCCGAATGTAGCTGCTTCTGCTTCAGCAGGATGACGTGAGGTATTTGGTTCCGAGATCAACAGAGGATGTCAACATAATCATGGTGCTGGGATATCGTAATCAGGTTTCGAGATGGCATCAGATAACCACAGTGACGGATTTCAGGGTTCACTGTAGGTTGGTCTACTGTCCTTCGCTTATGGATTTTCGTACACTGAAGGCTGAAAAATGGAAAGAAGCTCAAGGCCGTAGGTGGGCCACTGGCCACACCTTTCGGTCCTCGACAAAATTGGCATCGAAAGTAGATTCAATAGAACCATAGCTATCAATGAATGGTTTACTAACGTAGTGAGAAAACATCGGACGTGAAACGTCAACATTTTGATTACTCCCATCAGTCACAAAATAATACTTGCAAGAAAATTGCGCACTCATATATAATGGAAGCCTAGAAACATGGGTGAGCGGAGATGGAAATGGTGTGTCTAACGCAATTAGGTCCATAGCAGTATGTTTGGTTGCCTTAGTGGCTTTTGGGTGCACAACACTGGACGATTAACCCTTATCTGTACTGCCTCATTGATTGTCAGCAGTTTCGAATTGGGATTGCGAAATAACATGTTGAAGGAGCTGATCGAGTCTACTCCATGCTAAATCATCATTAAAACATTAGTAATACAGCTACTGTTCAAATCTTGATCCACTGCACCTTGTCGCATCAACGAGCAACTTAACCACCTTCGGTAGTGTTCGGCTACCCATTGGGATAGTCGACGATTCACCCTGCCTACGTATGTGGCATCGCAACTGCAAATGAACTGGTGGATGACATGAGAAGTAGAAGTATCTAGCGAGCTGATCTAGTTGTCGGGAACAATCATCTGTGGGTTGTGAACGATTCGCAAATAGGTGGTCGTGTTGATCAGTGTTAGAGTGGATCTGGGCTGTTCTCAATGTCATTTACAACATGATCACGTCTGAACGGCAGGAGCAAAGGAACATCCTTTTACGCCAATCCGAATAGTAGCATTACCTACCTCGTCATATACACCACAAGTAATTGGAACCTGTACTACATAGGCCACTTGGCAGACGAACACCCACTACATCCTGGAACACTGCCAGCGAACCATTAGTTGGAAGTGTAAGCTGTTGAGCCACCCGGCTGGCACAACAATGGGCTAAACCGGCAAGCCAGCGGTTTGTTTCAAACCGCTGCGTGTCCCAATACAAACCCGATAATGTTTTTCTAGCCGTGGTAGCAAGCCAGGTGATATTGTATTATAAATACGTCCGTCTTCAATCTCTGCCAGGCTGAGGAGAATTAGTCTCATTTGTTGGACAAGCCGATGCTCTTCCGGAACCCGGGGCAGATATCAGCCAATCTGTTAATCTGTTTTAAGGTGTCCGCTACCACCGTAGCGCCAATCGAACAATCAGTTGAAATGATCCAAAATGCATGTCTATGGGAAATATCAGTTGGACATACGATGATGACAGTATAGAGGGTGGTTAAAACATTGTTCGACGCCTCCGAATAGGGAAGCAAAGAGAAAGTTGGCATGAGATACAAAATCTGCAAACGTTATTAAGCTTCTCAGTTCTCGAACTCACCGTTCGGGACGTTAAACTAGATGGAAGAATGGGGGTTATTTTGAAGCGTGCATTGTACACAATGGAAAATGATTAATCACGGGATACAAGCAAGTGCTTGACACGTCCCGTAGGATAGTTGGGGCGAATATGATGAAAACAAAATATATGTGGGTCATCTACCAAACGTCTGCCAAGATAAATACTGATAAATAACATCAAAATAAAAAAAATCGAGCGAAAATGTTCAGAAATACACTGGGGCGCAGTGGTCGTTGATTTAAGGGGTGAGAAAACTAAAATATGGTTGCTCACTTGGGTCCACTTAATACATAAATCCATAAACGCATTGCGACAAGCAACTTAATCCTTGAGCACGATGCACACTAACGTGAGCTGATCATATGTTCCATGGGGCCAAAGAGCCTTCTCGTCAACGCATTACGTCACCACCATCCAACATATCCCTTATAGCCCATCAAGGATTCTGACGTCGTCTGGCCCAGCTCCTGTGAGACAGACCTATATTGAATGCTCCAAGGGGCTTGAATCCGGTAGCATGCCTCCATGGTTGTCGAAATTAGCTGTCGATTCGACTGAGGGAATGGGCTTTTCATTACATGGCGTACGTGGAAATTAATTCAGCCTGATTTTTACCCATCATCACTACAACCTCCAAGGGACTATCTCAAATTGCCACCAAACCACGGCTGAGCCCAGTCAGGCAACTCGCGGACATATGTGAACTATGCAGATCCACAAAGCCACAGCCATTGATGGATATTGTGATTCATTGGCTGCTCGACATCTGTAGAGAGCTTCAGTACGCACCATGATTACTGCAGGTCCCATGTGCACAGTCAAACTGCGCTAGTAACCTTCGGTGAACACTTGTCTTATACTACCGCTGATCCGGTAGCCTTGACCACGGGTAGCCGAACCATCGTGTTAGGTACACTGGCCTCATCAGCTGGCGTTTGACACCAGATCCACTGGCACTGTGTTACATGACTTAAGCACTCCAGTTGATTCGTTGGTCCTATTTCCATTTGGTACATGGTACACATATGGGCCAGCACAGCACCGCCCACTAACGTGGCATAACAGGCGTCGCGCACCCTCAACCTACCAGTGAAGCCTCCTTCGTGTTAGCTGTTTAACTTGCTTAACTTCCTACAACTTTCTGCGAATGTGCTGCGCGTGGTCATGTCGGTAGCTGAGTGCTTCCTGTTCTCTGCCCTCTGTTCTCTGTCCTCTGCCCCTCCAACGTAACGTTGGAAAGCCAATGATCTCATCGGGCTGCTTTTTTGCTGTTGCTAATAAAGTGAAACCTCCGTAACTTGACCACTCAAGGGACTGCATCAAGTGAGGAACAAACATACAAAAGACTAAATCCATAAAGTCTACATAGTGAACGTTCGAAGAGATTGTCAGTATATGGTAGTGGCTAACGTTGGAGGCTTTGCTAATTTCATTTCCTAGTCAAATTGATCTAACACAGTTATGTGCTCTGATCGAAATCCACCTGCGCCTTACGCTACTCATAAATTATGTCGATATAAAAATATTCTTTTTCAAACATTTATGTGAACAGAACGGCACCCTCCTTGCTGTCACCTAGGCTGTACTTTTCGAAAACGATGATTTGCCGCGTTTTGTCCTAACATACACACTGCACTGCTTCATCAGGCTAGTCTTGCTCCCTGACACTCGGGTGTAGAGGTCCTTCGTTGTTGCCAGTGCCTTTCCGGGTGTGTAGTCGTTAAATGTTTGTGTGTAGTTGTGAGGATACTAAGTCGAAACTTTACGCATGTTCATCGGATCATTCAAGTAACTCCAGTTGGGACTTGATTTCAACGACCACATAGAGTATGTGAGAAATTCTTTGGAAGGGTGGATGAAATCTGTAAAAATACCATGATTACAGTAGGCAATTGCATCCGTTGAACAACGCTGGAAAAGTATAGGTTTATAGTCCGAGTAACATTGCCACTTCCGAATCTGTTAGCTATATGTGAAACTAAACACAAGCGCTGGCTGTCGTCCCACTTTTGTGTCAATTTTACCGATGCGGATATATTAGTCTACTGATTATGGATACACTGGCTTCATCGAGCTGATGAAACAGCTCATTACAGCTAAGGTACGAGAGTGCGTTTCCACATCACATTCTCTCAACTAATGTTGTATGTATGACGTTGCAGAGGTGGACACCAATTAGTCTTAGGTGTTCAACGCATTTCACGTACTCCGAGGGGTTTGAGAGGCCTGCTTGCATGCTGCGTGGAATGTCCGCACTTGCAGTGGTCAGCTAAGTACCTGGAAATGCGTTTTCTAGTGATACCACATGGCATCCAGATAATCAAAATCGAATTCACACTTGATGCGACTTTTGCAACAAGTGGCTGAGGCAGCAATTCAAATTAATAAATATTACTCCGAGGCAGGTCTCTGCAATTACCTAATATCCACCAGTAAAACCAGATAAAATCCTAGAAATGAATAAATGTTTCTCAGTGGTAGCGTTACACTAAAACGTATAAGTTACATAAATGACCATAACACCACACTAACGTTTCCGATTTCTTCCCTAGTGGTTGCTTCTGTTAATCTTCCTGGTGGCACTCAACATGATTTGCGTTCGAATCAAGGGAGATCTTTACGTGAAGACGCGAGAATTAGGTGCCGACCCGTATGACCCGTCTACCTATGAGGACCTGGATGAAAACAAAATGGATGGCATTTGGTTATCCACCGATGACGCCGGTACTTCGAAAATGGTCGCCTTTGGTCGCTAATATTCAGACCCACTTTATTTGTAACTTCCAAACATATTTTCCGTATTACAAAAGATTTTTTCCAAACACCTAATAACTTCTCCTGTTCCATAGACAAGTTGCTACCTTATATACCCGAAGAACCTTAGGTTTTAATCTGGCATCCTACACAAAGGAACTGTGAAAAATGCAGCCTTACATAGTTGTATCGCTCTGGAGATCTTTGAAGAGGCACATGGCGAAACACAAGCGCGTATGATGTGTTAAACTGTCTCGAATTTGCAATCTACCCACGAGAGTTGTCGCCAACGAACAAATACCACGCGACTGGTACGAGCTGAGGCATGTATCCGTTTTGAGTGTGCCCTTCGTGCAGGACAGCACCAGCTAAGCAAGTCATTGCAACTTGAAGAAAGTCCGCATTAGCTCAGTTCCATAGCATGTTTACTAAGAAGTATAATATGATATACTTAGTGTTGGATAGCGAGTACTGGATCGACAAAACGCCTACACCTATTGGTAAGCAGAATCACTGGTGCCACTGCTCCTAAGTTGTTACAATAATTACGGCAATTCTCCCGGTAATTGTCATCAGGGAGTCTGATGACCCAATCACACCCTCTAAAACAAATGGATGTCACGCGATCAGAGTGTATGGAACTTGAAGGAAACTTCACTTACGCGAATGGTAAATCGAGAGCGGAAAATTCTACACTTTACTCAATTTTTACTGCATACATAGCAGCTTGGTAACACCTGAACCTGCGTTGTGCTACAAAGTATGTAACCTCAAGCGATGCCATGTACTGTATGTGCGATCTACAAGAGTAATGGAACTAGAAATTATGACGGGGAAAACCATAGGCTTAGCATGTCATTTAGATTGTTAACAGAAGATATTACAAAGCACATACAACATTAGTGGATCAAATAAAATACCCATCGGAGAGGCCATAAAAATGGCCATGTAGAAGGTTGCGGAAGTGTGATGATACCATTTACAACGGAGTAATTATTTGTTATACATTTCTGTAGGTTCGTCGCAGTTAGACACAGGCAGACAGCCACCACACCTCCAGGAAAGAGCTCGAGAACCGTTTCGTCCGATTGAGACTCGTCAGTAGCGTGCACCCACTGAATCCTGCCGGATTCGAACCCACAACCTTACTCTCGCGAGTCAGCGACTTATGTCACCGAACCATGGGCGACGGCAGCGGACCGTTATGACTGATATATAACTGCGATATAGCGCGGCTCATCCTCCACTATCTTGCGTGTTATGAAGGTGCAGAGGACAGGGTTGGCCCCAGAGCAACAAATTCCTTTGCAAGCCGCCACCAATCGAGGTGGCATGTAAGCTGCTAAAGCGACTACCAACCCGCACTCCAACACACCACACAGATCCAAAAGCAAAAATGAACCATGCACCGCGATATATTGCAGGTAAATAAGCGAGTGCTTTGCAAGTCCCGTAGGATGGTTGAAGTGAAAGCAAATATAAGTGCAAATCGTCTATTTCAGCGTCTAGCGATTCAGATGCGCTGCTTCATTAAAATATTTTAGAATGCGTACTGAATTGTTATGGAGTGTAATATGAGGAAGTAATATGGGAAAAATATGTCTTAAGAAGCAAAGAAACGACATCGCTCACTCGTGCGCCGGTTTTTGGACTGATGTATTTGCTGAATACAGTTGTAGTATATCCGAACGATTATTCCACAGCAGCAGCGTGAAAGTAGTGAAGCACAAAAGCTAAGAATGAGCACCGTTTGGTCGCGTTTGGTTGACGTAGACATCACTGATTATATAGCATGATGTAAGTGGATAGGAGAATCATCCAGATGTCTTTTGAATAGCATTGGTGTGGGGGAAGAAACAACGTATGTGAGAAGACCGTTCCAGTGTTGGCACAAACTAAGGGAAAAAGTATTCCGGCGGCATTCCAACCGGCTGTATTGTGTGGCCAGCTTTAGCTGGTCTCCTCTGAGTTTGGTATTGCGATTCAGCCTTAGTAGGTGACGACAAGAACGGTTTGGATTCCTCAGCATCATATAAGCCATTATCAAGTCGTCAGCAGCTGTCGATATTGTCCACTGTAGACCTCGAGGGTTTTCAGCCTCAATCGGTAAGGGAGATGAAACAGGCTCTTTACCTTCTTGATCGCCCTTCGTTGTAGCAGTTCAAGAGCGGTAAGGTCTTGCTTTTGCCATGGCTGCCAGGCGTGGGTGGCGTACTCAGAATGAGGTCGAATGTAGGCGTTGAGCATCTGAGAAGACATGGAAGGATCAAGCGCCTGAATACCCTCCGCAAAAGGCTATGGTCTTGGTTAGCTTTTTTGCGGGCTTTCTCTGGCTGACGGGAACAGCCCAGAACTTCTTGCACTATCACGCCTAAATCTCATTCTGTTGAAGTGCGCTGCAATATTTGATCCCCCAGTCTGTATTCGCAAGTGGGTTTATGGCGTAGGCTCAAAACCTTGCATTTTGTAGCGTGGAACTGAAGCAGGATCTGAGTCAACCATTCGTAGACCCTGTCAAGATCATCCTGAAGTGCTACCTTGTCGCTGGTTGTTCTAATGGCACGCCATATCTTGAGATGATCAGCGAAAAGTAAAGAGTTGGAAGTGACCACTGTAGCGAGATCATTTATGTATTGCAACGTCCACAGCAGCTACTGTTTCTGCTTGTCACTTTCTTGCGACTCCATCACACGCCAATTGTTTGTTTGCTAACAATCCACACTTTCCGTTACCCGATTCATGTGTTCGAAAATCTGGCTGCGATTCCGTTTGCGCTGCAGACCAAGGAGTTCAACCTTGGCACTGCTTCGTCCCTGATCCTCTTTCCGTCTGGCGTGCTTCAACATTCGGACACTCATGCAGTTTGGACAGCAAGTCGGTCTAGCGCGCACCATAAAGTCCCTAGACATTGATGTCTGCTGCCTTTCAGAAACCCGGTTGCAAGATCCCAGCACTGTGATTACATTGACATCCCCCACTGACCACGAAGCCAGATATCACCTGCGTCTTTCTGGATTTTCTGAAGCAGCCTCAGCGGGTTTGGCTAGTGTAGGTATAACACTAAGTGGCAAGGCTGAGGCGACACTACTGGACTGGTTCCCGATTAACAGCCAACTATCCGCAGTTCGGCTTCGCGGTTCATGTTAAATCAACAGGCACCGCAAAGAGAGACAACTTGTTTATGATCTCCATGTACGCTCCAACTGACTGCATTGGCGACTCGCTCAAGGACGAATTCTACCGAGATCTAAATCAGCTCTTGACTAATACCGTAAAGGCAAATGTCATTATCCTTGCTGGGGATTTTAATGCACGGGTTGGCCGCCTGTCACCGTACGAACACCACCTTGGTGGTCATCACGCGCTCGATGAGAACCGCTCTGATAACGCAGAGAGACTTCTCACCTTGTACGAACACAACCATCTGTTTCTCTCGAGCACTAACTTCAGGCGTAGGAAGAAGGGTTCCGCAACGTGGCGACCCCCTTCTTCAACACAACCGTGGTCTGAAATTGATCACATTGCAATTAACTACAGATGGCGCGGCAGCGTACTGGACTGCAGGTCCTTTTGGTCCACATTCGTTGACTCAGACCATGTTCTGATCTGCGCGAAAAACTGTATGTGTTTTGGAGGGTCCCGAAACACGAAGCACCGCAAGATTGATGTGAGCAGATTAACTGATTCCTCTGTCCAGACGAGCTATCAGTCTTCACTGGCATATGCACTCAGTTGAAATCCGCCGCAAGAAGTGGAACAACACTGGACTTGTATACGGAAAGCGATGACCATTTCCGCACAGTCATGCTGCAGTCTAACTCGACGTCCTTTGAAGTCTTGGATCGCTGCTCGTTCTCTGGAGCTGTTCGAACGCCGCAAAGATATCCCCGTGGAATCAGATTGCAACGAGCGGCGCCGTTCTGCCAACCGACTGCTCAAGCAAAGTCTACGCAAGGATCGCGAGACATGGTGGTCTGAGCGTGCTTTAGAGATGGAGACCGCTGCCCTCTCTGGCAACACTCGCAGGCTTTTCCATATCATTCGGTCCACTGGCCTCAGGAAGCCTGGTGTCAGTGAGATCATTTATGAAGTGGATGAGTCTCCGAGCACCAACCAACAGAGGCGTATGGATCGCTGGGCCGAGCACGTTTACTCGCAGTTCAACTGGCCTGGACCGTCAATCAGTACATGCAGTATACCTTGTTGTTCACCCTAGCTCGTCCCTCTGAATCCACCCAGCGAAGCGGAAGTCTGCCTCGAGATTCGACGCTTGAAGCGCTTCAAGGATGCCGGCTTAGACGGACTTCCTCCGTAGCTATTCAAGTACGGCGGCTTGACGATCATTAACCAGCTGACCGCGCTGTTCGCAAAAATCTGGTTAGAAGAGAAAGTGTCTTCCTCTTGGGGCGAATCAGGTATTGTCCCAATTTTCAAGAAAGGCGCTCGCATTTCATGTGCAAATCATCACATGATTAGTCTTATTTCGGTGGCCTCTAAGCCATTGGCATCCATACTGCTTCTCAGACTATCCTTAGTACATGAATCATATAACCGTGAAGAACAAGCTGGTTTCTGTCCTGGCCACGAATGCGTGGATCAAATCTTCACGTTCCACCAGCTCCTCGTACATCGCCACATTTATCAAAAGCCCACTATCATTGCATTTCCAGACATACGTGCTGCCTTTGACTCCGTTGATCCACCTGCTTTATGGCGTTGCTTACTAAAGAACGGGGTGCCAGAGAAATATACCGCCATCTTACGAGCACTTTACCTTCATACATACAGCAGAGGGTCTATGGCAAGCTTTCCTCGCAATTCGCTGTCAATAGCAGTGTACGACAGGGCTGCCCTATGTCCCCATTCCTCTTCAACTTCGCAGTCGAAGATGTTCTGTCGAATGTTGTAGAAGATTTCCAACAATTTGGCCTAGAGCTTCTACCGGGTGAGGGCGCGACCTACCTAGGTTATGCTGATGATATCGCCTTACTTGGTGACAATCCTCAGGGTATGCAACTCATTCTGGATCGTTTGACGGTTGAAGCATCTACGTAGGCCATGAGCT